ATGAATATCATATACCCAATGCTCATTTTTTTTCAAACTGTTAAAAGTGAACTTGATTTGAATATATACAACTGATTACATTCACTCTGGCAACCTGCAGTTTGTTGACTATATTTGTATGTATACACACATCATTAAATTATTTCATCTTTATTTTGCACTCATGTTCTCAATGAAGATGCATATTCAGCAGCTAACTGATTATTGTTCCATCTCAACTTACTTCTATTTGTTTCACAATACACATTTCTGGTATGATTCTAATTTGACCTTACTGGCTATAGTATGCTTAACTAAAATTATGGGATTAATAATTGTAGACCCTCAAGAGGAACTTATTGAAAACAACCGTCCGCTCTAACGTTTTTGTTCTGAATAAATTATGAGAATATTAAAATTATTTTATTGATGAAGACTCTGATGAATGTGCTTTCAGTTGACATCCCATAATTTTGAAAGTAAATTTAGTGTTGCTTTACGGCTAATCTCTAGTTACATGATCAGTTGTTAACGCTCTTCTCATGTATTTTGAAGTTAATCTCAACGATAAAATCCTGGATTCACTGCAATTTTTTTCGATCAGTTGCAAAATTGCCTATTCTATTGAAATAAATGGAATATATGCCAAATTTTAAGAATTAACAATCCTCTCTGCTGATTTTCACGAAAAATCAGGTAAGACTGACACTTTCAGGACATGATTAGGCTTTGGGGTTACAAGGTTGTCTTTGAAATGCAGCTGATTCATCAGTGCTGACAAGTGTCTATCTACAAGTCAGAATTGTGCGATTGTCTCAGAATTGTTTACTGTGATTGTATTTAACTGCATAATGGAGCTGTAAATAAAGACATATTTCCCTAAAACTTCGCTTTCGATCAATCACCAATAGATTTGCTGCGATATATGATTAAGTTATCTGGTGGCTAGCACGAGCTTCCATGACAACCGTTACATGCCAAGGGGAACTCTCTGTAATATTCGATGATAGGAGGCAGAAGAAGTCGTGTAAATGAATATTTCGTTTATAAAGTGATATAATTTAAAAATCGCAATAACAGCAGAACGTAAAATGATTTATATTTGCGTAGTAAAACATTAAGAAAAATTTCAAATTTAGAAAAACACCCAACACAGGATATACGTGTGTGATACCTTTTGTCATTCTGGTAATTGTTGACTCCCAATGACTACATATTTAAGCTGTGCTGTAAAGCGTATCAATACTAAAATCATCTCAGCTATCATCTCAATGTTTGCATGAGAAATAATTCTCATAACACTTATGAAAAGTGGATTCATTGTTATTGTTGTTTATATTAATAATGAACTTTGTTCAAAGCTAATTACAATAAATAATGAAATAATGTAAACATTTTCAGGCGATGATAATTTAAATGTTAAGGCTCATCTTCCTTACTTCATTACTCTCAACTTATTCATTAGGCTTCGTTAGCCTAACTGTCTCGGTGATTTTGAACTGTGTCCTCTGAAATTAATGAAAGTTTTATCAGCAAATTTTAGTTAATTAAGCAATGACTTATTATTCTATATGTGCATTCAACAAATATTACGTTCATTTATGACGAGATTCACAGTCTAATATTAAATAAATACTGTTATTAATAAACACGTTTGATATGCGTGACAGATGATTTTATAATGACGCTGGATTTAATTTAAAATAAGGGTTATTCCATGAATTGGAATATTCAGTGTGAAATGAATTACACAAGCAATAGTAATACGACGCGAGACATATTACAAAAAGTCAGCATAGAAAGGAGTCAAACGACATTAGGACAGAAAATTCGTTCATCACTCCACTTCATATTTGTAAATGACTGGAAGTCCGAAGTTCATGTAATTTTCACTTAGACTGCATGGAGGATTTCATCATAAGCTGAGATCAGTTAAAAAAACCACTGCAAAACATGGGAGTACTGGACAGCTGTTTCCTCTTAGCTTAGGACTCTTCATCAGTATGCACCTGCCGGGGTTCAAACCCAGGACCTTCTGGTTACAAGGCGAGCACGTATACCAATGAGACACCGGGACCCGAAGTCAACCGAGGGAGAGGAGAAATAATTTATGCTTGAAATGTCATCGAGATGATGATGTTGCATCATTGAATGATAATAATCAAAATAAACTAATGAAATATATGATTCCATTCTAACACACTGCACAGGGTTTTACGATTACATGTCTCAGTTCGTCATATTATTAGTAGTAGTACTCACACTTTTTTGCAGTTTTTAATGACTATCGAATTGCATTGGCGGGTTGCTGTTGTAGGTCTGCTAAATTCGAACTGATTAACATTTTCTTTATTTGAAATCAAATGTCAGTTATGCGATAGTCCTCCTCTTTGATAAATCACTGCCATCATACATTCAAGATCACTAACCACATCACTAAAACAACTATAAATCATTTTTTCACACTGATCGTATCCAAAATTACAGTGAGTGAATTGTAGGATTGGTTTTTGATGACACAAAAGGTAAACAAGCTGATCAGAAAGTGTGTGGAACTCTAACCGCCCCGATCTCATGTTGTTTCAGTTTGTATAAGCAGCGCTAATTACTGAAGATTTCTTTATACATGTTTATCATCTTTTGACTACGCTACGAAGCTTTATTTAGTTTTCTATCCGTAACTCGTATTTTATGCGGACATATTTGTCAAAATATGCTTGATATCTGTTGGTGTTATGGCAGTTCCCTTTTTAAATTATTTAACAAATAATTTCACAGCAAAACATTCAGCTCTATTTGCATTTCGATAGTTCCATAGAAAAATAAATCTCATATGAAATGTTAGCTGAAAGAATCTTCAATTATTTTACCTAGAGGAAAATGTGTGATAAGCCATCTGGTCTCAGGCTCAAATGTCAACGTTTCAAACTTTAAAATTGAACAGTTTTAGGTAACCTTTTGTTACCAATTGAAGGCATCTTAGAATATAAAATATTTGGAGATATAACTTTAATTGAATGGTGAACGATGAGTACAAAGTAATTAGCTGAAGAACAGCAGCTTCCATCCAACTGTAATTAAATATATAAACGAAATTAGTCAATTCTCTATGTGATGTGGTAAGTCCACAACTATTTATTGCTTATGCGATCTTTCATTAACTCATGATAACTATGTCACATGCATCGCTGATCAAAAACTGCTTGTTAGATAAGGGGTCATTTTTGGAATACACTGGCTGCTGGATTCTGAAGAGATCAATCAGAGAATAACAAGTTTCGGACATGTAACTGGTAATTTTTCTACACGCAGAATAAATTAATATTCGGCTCATTCAGAGAACGACTGTGCAACAGTAAAACGTTAAAAAATTGAAAGATCAAGGGTCAGACAGAACTAAATGCCTCTTTTTTCTTTGTTTGTTTCTTCATTTCTCTAATCCAACTTCATCGTGAAAAACTATCCCAGTTTGTTCATGCGATTCGTCCACAATTAAATTCTTTGGAGAAATCATAAATCACTCATGTCCTGATTGCTAGATTTACACTATTTGAAAAAGCTGAAATATTTACTTGGAATTATAATTTTCTCACCTATTGTATCACACTATTAAATTACACGCGTACCAGGAAAGCTTTTAGTTGAATAACACCGTTACTGGCGCATGTAAAACTGAGTCTTTCACGAATCTACTGTTGGGTAGATTGCATATATCACTGATTTACTTTGTTTTAAGCTGATAAAAATGGCTGAGATTTGTCAAATTTCTTAGTGTTTTATCTGTGGTTTAATCACGTCCTTGGATAGTGAGCGTTTTCGTTTATTCTGTTACTTTCTCAGTAGAACATAGAGCCTGAGACCTTTCCACTTCACCAGCATTATTCTTGGCTTAGCCAGGTAAAGGAGTACTTCGGCCGGGGATCGAACCCCAAACCATGTGCATGGTCGGCGAGCGTCTTAATCGCTATACCACCGACGCATGTGGCTTAATACTAGAGGCTTGAAATTTTGGTAGCAGTGTTGTTTCTGTTGCTAGCCTCATGAAAAGCCTTCTTTCACTACCAGTAATTTTACTGGATCTGCAAGGTAGGGTAGTGCTTCTGTAGGCATTCTATTGATGTGTCATCGATAGCACCATGACCATTACTCCCCCACCTGTTTCGACTCTCATTCTGTCAATATGCTTCTGAATAAAGTAGATGAAGGAAGAATAACCTGTGAAGAATGCCAAGAATTCATCAGTTTGTTAAGGCATATCGTTGAATTTCTTTTGAAAGAAACAGGATATACAGTTTATTGACACTCATCATATATCAGGTTTATTTGGGTATGGTCAGCATAACAGAATGCAAGAACATCACATTTAATGATTGAGCTAAAGTTGGCAATCCTCTAAATTTTCCATAGTCCCCCAACATAAGTGACCAAACATAAATATAAAGTAAAAGAATATATGAAAAAGGGCGGTTGCAGATATGGATGATACTCAGAGGTTATCAACTTTCAACGGAGAGTATGTAACATGAAGTGATGAAACAAATTCAAGACCACACTACTTTGCAATTTAATATAATACGTAAAATGAACATTAAATATTTCTTTAATGTGTGTTTTAGAAGCATCCACGTATATAGGATTTTTCAAGAGATTCTCTCTACCGCTGAATAACTGTACTGACATGATTAGATTTCCACCTGAATTTGGCAATATAGTATCTTTGGCTGAAACATATTTTCATTCGGTGGCTTATTCGTCAGAATGTATAACCTTTTAATAGTGGAAAGCACCAACAAGAACTTAAATTCTCTCATCGCCGAAATTGACAAAACACGTGGGAAAGACAAATCTTTTAATTACTTTATTTATTTATCAACTGATTAAAAAAACCGGAAATGTGAACTGTCCAATCAGAGACATTAGAATGTATACGTTGATGTGAAACTGGATTAAAAGTTGAAATTGCGTGATACGATCAGACAGAGCCACTTGGTATTAAATTCACTTCAAGAAGCTGGCGTATATCAAAGCCAACTAGGAGAAATAAAATTTTAAAAAATACGACAAAATGAATTTAGAGATTTTCAATTAGAATTTGTGCAATTTTCTTGAGTGGATAACAATTCACGATTCACATTTTTTCGTTAACCTGATTCAAAAATGTGTAATGTTTTCAAGGCTAATATGAAACCTTATTAACATACGCCTTAATTCTTCTACAAATTCGTGACGTTTTGAAGCAATTGCATTTATCAATTCACATATTGAAGCTTATTCACAATTTCACTTAGAAGCAAAAGCATGAACTTACAATAGCAACAGAAGTGTTCCAAAAGCCTCCAGCCAACGCAGACAAGAGTTCCTGAAATATGATGAGGTAAATTGCGTTCAGAATGTTGGTGACAAGTTACAGCATATTAAATATGTATAAAAATTCAAATCGTCGTAGAAAGGTGATAAAATTGAATTGTGCTAAATAGGACAAAATTGCCAGTGGCTTATGCACGAGTATGGAGTTGCCAGATCATTTCAAAGAAGCCGTAATATAAAAAAGAGAGGGGGGAAATGCTTCTGCTCTATTCATCAGAATTTCAGCTTCACAATTCTTAACACTACGTAACAGAACGTTTTCACATTATTCAGCATCCACATAACAAATAACTGAGATGCTGTTTCGCGCGCAGTTGAGTTTACTGTGACTCATGATTTGCTGGATTATTAATTACTCATTATTCTATTTCTCCTTCCCTTTTTAATGCGGATAGGTTTGATTCCAAGATAACAGAGAAAAATATTTGACTGAAATTAGATGTGAGTAGTAGTTATATCAAATTATTTAATTATAGTAAGCAAAGCAGATAGTCCTGAAATACAAGTGACCATGTGACTCACCTTATTTTGACCTACAAAAAACAAAACTACTCCATTTATTAGAAAAGCTGTCGATATGGAGAGCAAGACTGTAGCCAATACTTGTTTAAATCTTTTGGTGAAGACGCAGAAGATAATTGCTACCAAGTCTTCCAGAATGATGAAGCCAATTAAAATGTAACATTCTAAATGAATTTTCATTTTGCAACACGTAAAATAGATATTCCCAGACCACAGTGCAAGCTGTTGGCAAAATAAATTGAACATTTTCATTATGTCAGTGTGTTTGAATGCAATGTGTGCATACAAAATAACTTCATGTGAAATAACATCGAAATTTCGTTTAAAGAAAATTATTCTGTTATGGAAAGTCCACATGAAAACCTGGATTTGGATTTCCTACTTACTGGCTCTGGTTTGCACAGTAAGACTACAACCGTGAAACGACTAATCCATCCTCTAATTCTCTTAATCACCTATAAGGCAGGTGTGCAGTGGTTCGGATTCTGATTTTGTTCTTATTATAGGCGTGAATACAAAATTTATGTTCTCATGTAAAACCTCACAACATTGTTCTTCAAAATGTCTAACAACTTACAGTAATTTATATTCACATGTTCATAGGAGAGACGCGTAGGTCCCTGCAGGTCACGGCTATTCTACAAATTCATGAAAAGCTGCAAAAACAAATAAATTCATCCGATTCAATGGGTCTTAAATCGACATTCAGCTTCATTTTTTGCAAAGATCATCACAAAGACTGGTCATGAATTTGTTGTCGATTGAATTAGTTTGGTCAATTACCTTATCACATTGGAGACTTGGCCATAAGGATAGGTAAACGTGTGAATCAGTTAGGTGGTTCAAGGAAATATGTTAGATTGAAATCATTCAACAAAGAGTATTTGCAATCCTACTATTCGATTTCACTTCAATTTAGTATCGCCACAGGATACACAAAAAAACTATATCCAAGACATATGTAGATGATATTTGTATTGTGTGTGAAATTGAATCGAAAAGAAGCCCAGAAATTATTGATGAGGTTCATCTAATGCCATCTGGATCTTAACTTCATGTCAAAACACGAGAAGAAGAATATCACTGAATTTCTGGATATTTCGCAGTTAAATTTAACAAATATTAACGTAGAAAGAACTGTATTGATAAAGTTTTCATGAACTCAACAGTACATACATTTCAAAAGTTTTGCTGCGATCCAATATAAGATAGAAATTAGTCAGAACCTTATTCCTTATAAGACGCAGAATATGTTGTGGCAGTGCTGCTGGATGTGAAACAATGTTTGTGAAGGTTATTTTAATCTAAGAATGGATGTCATAAAAAGTTCATCACTATGCACTCTAAAGAAATAAGCCCTCGCAAAGAAAGCTATATATATATCAGTTTTCAATGCAAAGAGGATGATCTACACGATATAGGTAGACGGAGATTTAACAAGGCAATAATGATAACTAAACGTGCTACAAACACGTATTTCTCAGAATTATCAGCAGATACTGAAGCATTCGTGAGAATAGCAGTTGACATCTGCGACGAGTAAAACTGCATATATCAATTTATGTGTGTTTATGGAAGCAAATAATTAAGTCGTATGTTTCGGAGATTTCCTACCCGCATAATGCATCATTTTCCATAGTACCAGTATATTCACTGAAAAAGCATCTTGTAGACTACCGGCTTGATATTGGCACAGTCAGTTCATTCACATTTGTCAGCAGAAAAGCAAATATGTGGTTGCTTGCAAATAGAATGGCGGGTCAAATAAGAGTTAATAAAGCCGGTCTGTGTGTAGAGAAGGCTATGGTGGTACTTTGGAGTCTACCATGGCAACATAACTCACTTATAATGATATATTCCTTTATGTATTATATTCTTCGCCATTATTATTCTAAATTTGTTCAGAACAATCTTTTTTCAGTGCCATTATCTTAACTCTTTTTAATATTACTATTACCACCAATACTATTATTATAATCAGAATTAATATGCTTCCAACTGTGTGAAGTGTTCAAGTTCTTTCTCTTATAGCTCATTGTTTATCTAAGTGATGTAATTTAGCTGTTATGCATTATGATACTAATTTTTACCAATCCTGGCAGCGACATCAGTGCGTCATGGCACAGCGGTAAGACGCTCGCTAGCCATGCAGGTGGTTCGGGGTTCGATCGCTGACCGACGCAATCCTTTACCTCACTAAGCTAGTAATAAGGTTAGTAAAGAGTAAAGGTTGTGCATGAGGCTAGCAACCCCATCCTGTAAAAACATACACCACCGCTACTGGAACTTCAAGCCTGTAGCTTGAAGCACCATGTTCCACGGGGAACGCAAAGGAATAAAAAAAAATTCTCTTTACTGTCACCTATCTGAATATGACCTTAGAACCATACGCTACCTGTCGTTTTCCATGAATGATTCAATGAAGGTTATTAACTTATCAGTCTTCAACCTCCTTATTTAATATAAATGATATGTACATATATTTTGGAATGTAGAGTATTCATATCAAATCACATTAATTTTGTTGCACTTTTTAATTTACCTTATATTCGAGTGTTTGGCACAAAAAACAAAAAGTGATCTTTCGAAGAAAAAGTCAACTCATAAAGTTGATACTCAAAAAAACTTACTGTTATTGCTATCAGGATCAATGCAATTTTTAAATTACTCCTGAATTTAAAAAAATCTAATAGACAGAGAACCACAGCCAATACTCTGAAATATAAATAGAAAAAGCTGCAATAAATTCAAAAAGGCTGGAATAAAGTTCTGTTGTAAAAGACATTCGATTCTGTGAGGGCTTGTGATTGAACGCTGGATATCGATATCAAATAAAGAAACTACACTGGTAATTGGATGCACCGTGGAAACCCAGCATTAATATTTCGTCAGCTGTTCAATTCTTATTCGTCGAACTCGTTTACCTTTAAGGGACTAAAAGGTTTACACGTATCTGAAGCAGCTGTCAAGTTGGTTGGTCCAGACCACTTTTTAGGATAATAAGATTTTAATTAGGGATACTGTGAGAATGTCATTACCGATCCAACTTATTCGCTGATATTGGCTGATAACACGAGGTCAAATTACTTTTCCGTGTAGGAGGGGATTTTTCTATTTTTCTAGTTAGCAACAATAGTGGTATAGCGCTTTTGTTCTCAGAAGATCAGTACTCCAATTAGTCTATACTCAACAGATACGTTAACACAGATAAAATTTATCAGTAACTAAGCGAATAGTCATACGGCGTTAAGCTAAAATACCGGAGCAGTGAAATGATCATGAATATTACAAATGCGTTGTGCATCGGTGGCGCCGAGGAAGAACGCTCGTCAACCACATTGGGTGAGTTTATCCCGGGTCGAAGCACTCCTTCACCTCGCTAAGCCAACAATAAGACTTGTAAAGACGGAAAATATGGCTTGAGGTATGCAATCACATCCCGTAAAATTGAAACACCGCTGCTACCGAAACTTGAGGTCTCTAGCTTCAAGCTGTATTTTCCACTGGGAACATAGGGGAATAACATAAATACAAATCCGCACAATACTAAGAACCTTTCTGAAAAAGCAATCACCAACACAGCAATCATACGAGGCACATATCGTTCATGTTGATTTTCAAATTATCACTCAACCTTCAGTGTAAAAATGTCGATGTTGGTGAGAAGGACTTTGAAATTTAAGCAACATAATCACCAAAAGTGATGAACATAATCTCACCGACTCTTTGCAGGTTAGGTGTATAAATTTAGTCAGTCCACCAGCCGCAGTATATCGATGAGTCAAATGAGTAATCCTGGCCTATGTACCTTTAAAATGCTACATATTCTGCCAAAATAACAGATATGCAAGCAGGTAACTGTTTGAAATCAGTTCTATCACTTAGGTCAGCAGCTTATGTGAACCCATAACTGAAATTCTATCGTAGTTTTGAACGATTGAATTACTTAGATGGTGATCACCGGTTGACATAAACGTGTTGAGCAACATGTACTACTAAAAGCGTTATTTTTAGATATTGTGTGAAACCAAACTTGCAAACAAACTAGCTTTAAATATTCCCAGCAAGTCTCAAGCACAGAAAAACGATGGAGTTTTGGACGTGAAGACAGGAACCTCTACTTCAAAAAATCAGTCAAACTGCTACAGACATTCTGATGCTAAACAGCAATAATAAAATTGCGGAAAAGATGAAAAACAAACATATTCTTCTCTGTAATAAGGAAGCGAAATTACGCGTGCTGTTGAAAGACTGCGGGAAGTCGGTCAGCTGATATGTCTTCTCTAAATGAAAGGAAGAATCAGAATGTTGATTAGAGTGTCCGTTCAACGTACGAGCAAACTGAGACACCGAGTTAATACCATGATGTCCCTGGTGACAGCCAAAACCTTAATGCAGAAGTAACTAATTTCCTCCGGGATTACGAACGCAAGGTTCGAATGAAAAGGTAGGAGTTTTACAATTATCCAATAATACGCACCTAAAAACAACTTGGAACAAGATATCAGGTAAGATTTCCACAGAGAACTACAAACATGAATGGACACCATCCCCAGTGGAGACATCCAAATCATTATTGACAGTATGAATATCAAAGTAGTAACGAAGAATACAGGAGGAGAACTCATAATGGGTCGAGGAGCGTCGGCCTGGAGAAATGAATGAGACCAGAGAACTCTTTGTAGACTTCAGCGCCTTCAATGATTTGGTGATTGAAGTCAGTGTGTACAAGCACAAGGATATACACAAAGCAACATGGATTTCGTTTGATGGACAGACCACAAACCTGATAGACTTCACTTCGATTTTGCACATGGAAGTTGAGACGAAGTTATTCTACTGGACACAAAGTAGAGAAGAGGGCTCAGACCATCATTTGCTTGAATAAAATCTCAAGATGAAGGTGAAATCCCTCATAAAAGCTAGATAAATTCCACCATTCAAGTAAATATTTCAGAAACTGAAGGACGAAACTACAAGGGTTGCCTTCATCGCTGTTACCAGAGTTGAATACATAACGTTGCGAAAATCTGTGTTGAATAATACAGGTACTCTCTGAGGTTGATGTTCAAGAAATTTATACAATGGTTCTAGGAAGAAATAAGATACAAGACAAAGAATAGCTCTCAATAGATACCTTGAAGCTAATCGAGAGAATGGCGATTAACAACAGAAGAGAAAGCTGAATTCAATGTACACTGCAATAAAAAAAGAAATGAAGAAGAGTGCTAGGAAAGATAGAAGACAGTTATACGACACACTGAGCAGCAACTGAAGCAGAAAAGATAGGTCTCAGGTAGAAGAGACCTCAGCACATTACATTAGATAACCAGGTCTTTACGCAGGAAGACTTCAACCAATGAAATCTATAATAAATTTTTTAGGTTCCCTGAATATCAAGGAGAAAAAACAGATAAAACCGTAGGCTAGTAAATTCACAGAGTTCTTGAATCAAAAATCACTTGCAACTTGCCCAGAATTTTCAACAACAATACTCACAGAACTTCCAGAGAATACCAATCCCTCTACGAAAGCAGAAATCTTGAATGAGATATTGAGGTATTGAAGTTCAACCGGGAAGGAAGCATGGCAACATGGAATTCCACCCAATGTACTGAAAACGAAATCAGAGACTGCAACATATATGCTCATGGCATTTGTGAAAACGGTTTGAATGGAAAGGATGGCGCTTAGTGACTGACTTCCTCGCCTGTGCAAGAATTGGCGAGGGATCATGCTCTTGTCCACGCCAAGTAAGACAATAAGTCGCACCATACTGGAGAGAATAAAGATGCACTGGATGCAGCATTCCACCCACCGAAGCAAGCTGGATTCAGGAAAGGCAAGTCATGTGCTGAATAAATTGCAGGTATGTGCATCATCATCACAAATCAAAGCATAGCATCGCAGTCAAACATTTACCTTAACTACAATGACTCCAAAATGGTGTTCGAAAAGCATTGACTGGGAATTCATATGCGAACTACTTCCGCACCACGGTGTGCTCTACACCTTTATCAACCTCTTTCGACAGCTGGTCACATAAAAGTGCCACGCATCAGGTGATCAACATCGTCAACAATAGCGAGGTTTTTGAAGTACTTATTGGAGTAAGATAGAATCGCCTATAAGCAACAGTGATATTTCCATTTGTTAGGTGCAGCATTTTTGCTTTCGACTGCGGTAACGAGAAGATAAAAATATGGTGGACCTATAAGAGACTTCAAAAAATCTATATTTCAGGGCCAAACAACTTTGGAGACGTGCAGGTGAAAAGCGAAAAACTGTCAGAAGAGGCAGACAGTGAACACAGGACTCCATCTGAACATATAAAAACGGAGGTGATGAATACAAGAAAAATCAACAAGCAACAACAACAATGGCCAGCACAGTTACTATCAACAGGAGAGCTTTGACTTGAGTTACTTCCTACACTTATCTAGGAAGTATTGTTTTCATCATAGGCTGAAAAGATGAAGATATCAAAGGCAGCCAGAGTTGGAAAGGCAGGATATGCCTTCATCAGTGAGAAATCAGTTAGGAAATTATCTGTGTTCAGGAATTCAGATTTTCAACACAAGTCTTGAGTCATTCCTTCCATTAGATCGAGAAACTTGACGTGTCATAAAAAGGATTTCCGACGGTTTGCAGTCTTTTATCTACAGCTATCCTCACTGGTTGTTCATAGAAGATTGAATGACTGAATAATATTAGTAAAACGAATTTCTGTGAGCAATCTAACAAAGAACCGATTGCTTAAAAAAAAGCAAAAGAAATAGGAGACGTAAAAGGCATAAACTGGAGGGATCATTGAATGATATCGTGCATATCGGGATAAACTTGAGCGGAGTGGGAATGAGTAGCGATGTTGGCAGTGTCTGAGGGTGATACGAAAAAGATCATGAGATGAGGAGATAAGAGATAACGAGCAATATCCGGCGCAGATAAAGAGGACAACAGAAAATAAAAGTAAGTGTAAAAAATATGTTGTGGAAGCATTAAATTTCACTTCGAAATAAAAAAACAGTGGTAATAATTATAACAGACTTACAAGCAAACGATCGCCACAACATCTTCCCAATTAACTGCATAATTTTCAGTCACCTGAAAGATACAGTAATTAATCATTTAATATTGGTCATAATTTAGATAACATTCATAGATTACTGATGATAATAAATTGAGAACGCTGTCATGAAATGGTGTTTGTGACGCCACAGACCTACGAAGAGTTAAGTTTAGACTAAATCGATTTATGCTTATGTCTCATCATTCGACATGGGTATCAAATGCATGTAATGAATGCGATATAATGCTTGCATTATAATCCGTCATCCTAACAAACAGGCACAATACAGTACATATTAAAAAACAAATAGTACGCAAATGTGAGAAATTCACTAGGTTCTGCCTGAAATAATAACCATTGTGTGTATGAAAACACAACAGCCCTAGTTGTGTGGGTTCAACAGTACAATTTAGCCCGCAAAAGCTTCCCGTAAACAATTATTACGCAAGTTTGGTGTTCATAGTCATAAACAGCAAAACCGGATAGTTAAATTCTTTTCATGTGGACAACAAAAGTCGTTTTGAAGAGTGTGAATTGTTTCTACTCAAAGTGAACGTGCAGATATCTAATTATTAAGTTACCAACAGAATACATCGAATGAAAATTGGAAGGGCGTGAACAAACTTATGCTCTTTCTTCTCATAATAACCTCATGAACCATGAAATCATGAAAACGAAAGATGCAAGGCTGAAGGAAGAGTGAAGGTTTGTAGACTCTGAATAATGACAAGTAAATTATGTTAACGACAAATTATAAAAAGTGAACTGCTTACTTGCAATAAAATTCTCATCTTCAGGTAAACGGTATCGTGTTCACTTAGAGAAATGTTCAACTACTGTGAAAATATATCCATTTCATTCTAAAAACTTTGACTCATGGTTTTGTTTACATTTACTGTGAAATGTTTTTTTGTTGGTAATAAAATCTTCAACTAACGTCAAAGTCTTCGTATTTTTGTGCATAATCGTTTCATTGCGTGAATGGTAAATAAACACTTGAGAACAACATTGGAAATATTTTATCATGAACCATTTGTTGTTATTAAATGAAAACTGTTGAATTCATAGAACAAAAAATATGAAAAAAATTAAAAATGATGATGTTACTCGGAATCAAAGGATGAATTTGTACGTGTACGTCAATGTAGTTGCCTTTTGCTAGATTAATACGACATACTAATAGGCATATGGGTAATGTATTGGTCATGTGATGTGATAAAATAAATAGTGGTAATATCCAGTCGTATCTTATTTTTCTTCGACAGGTTAATATCTGCTCCCTTAGTCCATCTCTCGTGTCCGTCATAACTTGAGAATAGGTTTCAGTTCATTAATCATATGTTGTCATACTGTTGAAGTAGATCTTCTGCACTGACAAAACACCATTACAACTTATTATTTCAGAGATAACATATTTGGATGGTTCAGTGCACGACGTTAAGCACATAGCTGCACTACTAATCTTGTAAATTCAGTTTTTAGTACAGAATATTGTAAGACTGAAAACTGTGAGTAGTTCGAGCACATATCATCGATATAAGTCATATCACACAGAAGTGTTCCGCATGTCTTGAAACAATCAACTTGTAGATGCTATTTGTTGTTCAGTAATTTGAAAGTCAGACTTATCGTGAAATCAAGGTAAACATGAGTTTGAAATAAAATAAAAGAATTTCTTTCGACTAAGTGTGTACTCAGACATTCCTGAAAATTCACATTGCCACACACATAATAACATTGCTGAGGATGACTCTTTCCTTCTGAACCATCGAATGCTTGTTAATATCGCTTCTCAGTATATGTATGTAGGCCTTCCCCTGTAAGTCTTTCACATCAGCCCATGGGCGTAAAAATCTTGGTTCATCTACCACTTTTCCGTGACGTCGAACCAAAAGGTCCACTTATTCAGTTTGAAGTGTGCGATGTAAGTACTGTCCAGGGAGATAATAAAAGCTTTGCAAATAAACCATCTAGCACAAAGAACAATATTATCATGAAAATATTGAGAAATCACAAAGAATGTCCAATATCAGAAGCACTTCATATCAAATAAAATACAAATTGTCTGAATAGGAATGATGGACTAAAACATAATACGATTGGGTTACAACAAACTCCTCCCCTATGAAGTGACAAAATCAACACGAATGTGATGAGCTGTTTCAATACGTAAACACACGCTACTTTTATAATTTAATTCACGGAATATACACATTGGGTCATAGGAGTTAATAAAAAGACAATTGCAGCGAAGAAAATTTTCTTTTCGACGAAGTCATCATCTAGACTGTACATTCGTGTATTTATATCAAATTAATAGGAAAGTTCCAGAATAATTTCTGGTTAGGGGTCAAATTAATAAAAAATTACAATTAGGAATTAAAATGATATAACAAACAGGGGGGATGGGTAAAACTCGAACAAAGTAGCATTATAATAACTAAGAAGATTGACATTGTGTAATTGGGGGTTAGAAATTTAGAAATAACAAAATATACAGGATGTTTGGATAAAAAACTAATATGATGAATAATTGTTTATGCAATCAGGGATTAAATAGTAAAATGACAAAATAAACAGGAAGAGTGGGTATGAAAATATGGTAGTGTAAACAGGGTTTAAGAAAACTTAAAATAACATGAATAAACAGGAAGTTTAGATAAGAAAGGTGATGAGATTGTTATTACTAAAAAAAATTTTACCTGTTTATGATGGCCATGGTAGGGAGAGAGATTGGACGTAATTCTTTTGGATACAAAGTGTGGGTTTGAGCTTTTGGATAGATAGCGCCTCAGCTATGCCCAGATGTCTTGATTTGATTCCCTTTGATAGGTTTGATTGAATTTTGTATATTACTTTGAAGGATTTTTCGAAAGGCGCTGAATGTCCTGAGTTGACCAAACATAATTTAATTCAATAATCAAATCCAGTAATCTACGCCTGGCTGTGTTATCCTTACCGATTGGCTGACTTGACTATGCACAACTGACCACATGTTGAGGAACGATGATAAAGTTGTTGTATGTTAGCTGAGATTTTGTTCTTTAAAAAATCTATTAACATTAAATAGTGAAATGTCAGTAAAAACAATATCGTCCTTTTTTTCATTCATTTAAATATTATAAAAAAACTTTTATTATAATGAATATCATATACCTAATGCCCATTTTTTCAAACTGTTAGATTGAACGTGGTTTGGACGTATCTAACAAAGAACGAAACTACACCGAAATAATCCGTCTGAGCTACAGATCTACTCCATTATATCTTAACTTAATCAGATAGAACAGGGGAGATACATGACGTAATTAAAATTACACCACTTCGTTTTGTAAGTTCAGTCACTGAGTCAGTGAAAACCGGTTGCCATTAAAAAAAGTTTTTTACGTTTATGGTTGAGAAATGATATCACAAAGGTGCCTTAGATGTCTTCCTTCTTCCCCCCCTCTTCCTCAGATACCTTCATGAGAGGCTGCTTGAAGAAGGCAACTTAGAGTTCAACTTGACTATTATTTGGAAGGTGATATAGATGAGTATGAATTTGCTGGCAACCAAACTGGTTGACGTAATCTGTGAATGTTGACTTTGTAAACTGCCCTCCCTTAATGTATTCTGAAACGTCAGCTATATCAAACTCACAACATAGCTGGTTTGCCTTGAACAATGTCAAATTTAGCGTCACCAAATGGATCTAAAAATCTTTGACCATCTGCAAAATGCATCGAGGCATGTTAAAAAATAAATGCAACCTTACTCTCCATCAAAATCAAAATGATAACAAGACCCTGGCCAGTCTGACAGCAACCAGAAACATAGTTTTATCATACATCGATAACTTATTGTTTGGGTAGATTTGCTGCAAAAAATTATTCAAAGCCATATTTTACCATAAGCGATGTATATGCTACAAGAATTGAACCTGTATCATATGAGTGAATCATTGCTTTCCAACATATTGCATGCATTGGAACATTGGCAACATTTCTCCTATCCATGCAACTGAGAATAAGCAAGTTCAAATCGGGATAGTTACTTAAGTTACAGATGTAACTCACTTTACTGTTGAAGTTTATGACAACTATGGATGCTTTTGAGCGCCATATTCCGCTAAATTAGTCTCTGAACACCCAATTGTGTACCCCGTGAAGCATAAAATCAACGTATTGTTAGTCTCAAAATCCAAATGAAGACGAAGGAGGGTATAAAAAAAGAAGTTATAGTTTCTCGCCAGTACAGTGTGTGTTTGTGACAGGATCAAAAATTATGGAATGGATACAGACATAAGTATTTACATCATCTTCAGGAATATCAAATATCGACAGATGGATGGGTTGACTGATGAAGAGAAGAAAGGGACGGTGATTGTTAAACACGCTGAGAATCATGAAAGTAAGATAAAGAAGTACTATACTGAAGGTAAGCGCAAATTGAGTTTTTTTAAATTTAGTAGACATATTTTGCACAGAGCCATACATCCAGTCACCAATCAAAATTATTTTGACAAATACTATTGTGTTCTGAAGTTACATTTTGTGTCGCTGTTTTCGAACAATGAAGGTTCCACGGTGTGCATCATGCGAAGGAGACATTCAGGGCTTCTTGTGAGACTTCAGTGCTGCTAATCAGTCGACGGGGTCCAGGATTTAGGACATAATTACTGTATAAATGTGACTGAACCGTTAATTAAATTGAATCTACAATAGCACTTTTGCTGATCCAGTTTTTACGCGTTTTAATGAATGCCTCAATGTGCAGTACTGATGAATTAAATATTTCCGTTTGAGCTCAAGTGAGTTACACAAACGACAATCTGTAATTTCTGCCAGAAGCTTGTTACTAGCACGAAAATTCACCCAAAAGGCATGTTTGCATGCACAAGTTTTATCAGTCGAGGAAGAAAGAAACCCAGCAGTTTAATGCTCAAAAGCCACGCTAGCGAAAAATAAGAACTGACAAACCTCTGAAAAACGTCATTGCTGTCAAGTTCATTTTGATAGTCGCAATTCACTCTGGTGGGATACCAAAATCTTGATTTGCATTGAGGCTGAAGGGGAAGGTACCAGCTAGACTCAAAAAAACGACTTTACTTAAATCACCAAGAACATCTAACATAGATTCAAGAAAAGAATTTGGTTAAGCTTCAAATTATCCATATTGATTCACGGCAGTTAACCTATCAAAGTGTATCTGAGATTAATCAATGATCTGATGACATCATACTTGGAATATGAACTTTGATGGCAGCATGTATTTATATATATTCCTTTATTCAGTCGTTTGTAAAACAAAGTTGGACTGAATTCAGAAATTCGACGATGAACTTGGCAAAGCGCGTTCCCATTGTTCAACATAAACAGTTCATCTGGTAAATACGCTTGGAGGACGCCAAATGAGGCAGTTTGTCTAAATTTCGTGAGCCAGCTTTTTATTGGCTGGTTAGCTAGCAGCACAAATTAGGTCTTTTGTGGCTCCTTCTCAAAAGCTGTGAAGTGAATTCAATGTTATCATTTTCCATGAACTACAGTCTTTGGAACACTGATTTTTTTCAAAATCTCAGTATATGTGGACTACGTGCTTGTTAGATACATGTGTGGATTCTAGAATCGCTTCTGCTAAGCTAACCACAGATGATTAGCAATTCACCAAATGTTTTGTCAAATCAAACAACTCTTGGATGGCCAGCTGAAATTCTGCCTATATTACGTGTGTTTCGTGGAGGGACAAATCTCAAAATAACCTCCTGCCTACAACTATAAATACATTTTTTCAAAATCAGAAAACACAGAAATCT